TTGTTGCTGCTGCTGTTCCAGATGCTGTTCCTGCTCCTGCGGCTCACAGTCTTGCTCGGGCACCCCCTTCACAGGAGTTGTGTGTTTCTCCCCGTGCACCAAGGGGACCTCCCCTGGGATCCCGGAAGGCACCTTCTGGCATGGGACAGGCAGTGGAGTTGGCTCCTTCACTTGCTCCTCCTGGTGGGTATCAGTAGGAGGAGACACAGGCTTGAGGGGCTCCTGACAGAGGGCAGGGGGCAGGGTGACTGGCAGAGTCTGTTGCTGGGACATCTTGGAAGCTGCTTTAGGTCAACCTGAAAAACAGGAGGGGTCAGAGGGGTGGCTGAAGACAGGAAGTAGCTGAGTCCCCATGAATCTGCAGGTTTCTCAGCACCCCTCTTTTCCCTGGGATGGGGCACGCCCCCTCCCAACCCAAGCTGTCATTCCCCAAAAGGAGCAGAGTGTGAGGGTAGGAATGGGGAGGCGGGGAGACCTCTTCCGTGCAAGGTCTGTGCCTCCTGCTCTGTTTCTTCCTTGTCTCTGCCCTCACTCCTGACCTCCGCTGACCAAGGAGGAGAGAAGACTTCTGGGATTATAGCAGAAAGAGATAAGGTCCTAGGAAAGTTAATGTCTCTTGGAGCACTCCTGAGTCCTGGAAGCCAATAGCGCATGCCCGAGAGGACCTGGGAGGTCATGTCAGGGTGTGAGCCCAGGACTGGAGTCACATGACATTCTTGCCTTAAACCTCCCACTGAAATGCTGTGTGCTTCCAGGCAATGCACTTAGCCCCTCTGGGCCCCAGCCGTCTCCTCTTTGAAAAGAGCAGGTTGGCCTGTTCAGCTCTAGAACTGCTTTCTCTCACGACCTGGAACTTCAGCCGCAGCCCCCCGTGCTCGGGGTGCGGGGCTGCACGGGGCCTGAGAGTGCAGCTGGCTCTCTCAGACATCCACGTCCATGCTGGCTTCTGCCCCTGCTCTGCCTGGGTTTCTCCAAACAGAAAGCTTTCCCTATTTTGCTGGTCCCCTCTTTTGGCGCACAGCCAAGAGTTACAAACATTTCCCTGAGCCCGCCCTGGCCCCGTAAAGAGGGCAAAATCATGGTCAACCCAAATCAGGCAGTTTTAGGAAAGAAATTGGCCACCTTCCCCTGCATCATTCCTCCACCCCCCCCCTCCAAAATATGGTTCCGAGAAAAGATGGGATGGGAGGCCTTGCTCCCTGGTCAGTTTCCATGCCATGGCACCAAGCCCTCAGCTCAGTGACCCTCTCAGAACGGGCACTCCAGCTAAACCCAGCCCGTGACCACCCTGGCTGGCCACCCCAGCCACGTCTGGTCTGCTGGAGGCCCCGGTCCCCACCCCGCCTCTGCCGGCGACCCAACCACTCACCTGGCTCAGAGTAAGGATGGCTGAAGAGGCCTCTAGTGGAGTGCTGAGCAGAGCAGGGGCCAGGGCGTCCTTTATACCGTTCCCCAGCCTGGGCACCTTCCCAGCTTGAAGGAGATGGACTGGTTTCACCACCCAAGTGGGTCAACTTCCTCCAGCCCCTCCCTGACTCATCACAGGCAGCTGCAGCAGAAAACCCCTCAGGGCCCCTTTTCGCAGAGACACAGCCCTCCTGCCTGGGGCCTCAGCCATTGCTGTCTCACTCATGTGACCTGGGCTCGCAGCTTGGGAACCAGGGGGCCCCTTTTCCTATTGTTTTGTGATCTCAGCCAAGCATCTCCGAATCTGTTTCTCTGCCTATAAAATGGGCTTATCTCCATTATTAGGCTGAGAGATTCCTTTCTAAGGGTACGAAATGGAAAGTTATGTGTCTGCGATGTCCAGGCCGGAGTATGTGGTAGAAAGGTGGGAAGAATCACATCTTACAAAGGGTTGGGGCTTCTGGGGGTTCTCTTGATCATTAGCCCATAGCCCACCCTCTCTCAGGACCTATCTATAACTCCACCTGTGAGGAAATAAACTCTGTCCTCAGGCGGAGATGACTTTAGGCCCAGTAGGGACAAATAGAAGGCTTGTAGGGGTCCCCTGCTGTATCCCTGGGCGACCCGGGCTGTGCCCACGGCTGTCGTTACAGGAGCTCGCAAGAGTAAAAACTCCCAGGAACTCTAAAGCAGGAGTGGCTCTAGGCAAGCAAGCTGGCATTAAATATGCAACGTATCAATAAGGTGTGTGCTTTAGGGCGCTAAAGCAATCACTTTCTATAATTTTTTTTTTTGGGAAATGCATGACAGCATAAAGATAAAACCAAACCATCCACTGCTTTTTCCAAAACGTTCTCTAACAAGAGCTTAAGCAATCTTTCAGAGGGGATATTACAGCTTGTCCCCCCTCCCTGATGCTGATGGTGACTCAATGCCTCGGGAATAAAATCCAAACTGCTGCCCCGTTTCAGAGATGCTCACGGAGGGTCCTGAGTTCCCAGGATGAGAGCCTTCCCGGATGACCCCATCTACAGGGTTATCCTCTGACTCGCTTCATTTCACCAGTGACAACTGAGGGACCCTTTATTTGCATTTGGTCACTTATTTATTTCCTATCTCTCCCATTGGAGAACAAACTCTGTGAGGCAGGGGTTTGCCTGGTGTGTTTTCCACCATGCCCCCAGAACCGGTCATAACCACCGCAGAGTCAGAAGCAGCACTTTATAAACATCAGGTGAAGGACTGAATGAGTAGTGAGTCTTACCACCTGGAGATAAGTACTTTGGCACGTGTGTGTGTGTGTGTGTGTGTGTGTGTGTGTGTGTACACAAAATTGAACTGTGAAGTGCTTTTTTCTTTTTAATGATTGCTTTATAGCTTATTTTATGGACATTATTTATTTAAACTCTCTTCTTTACAACCTAATCAAAAAAGAACTATTAGAACGGGATGGAGACACTCATCCCTGGGGCTAATTTTGAGAAGTGTTCTGATTCCTCCTGGGTTTCTCAAAAGGCACCTTTCTCCCAGCCCCACGCAGATCTGTGTAGTGTTCACATTGCCATGCTCTGGGGTTCAGTCTGGAAAGACAGATGGAGGGGCCCCTGCCTCTGGAAGACTACCCCCTCCTCATGCCCTCTGCTTCCTGAGTCCCCCCAGGACCTCACTTTGCCCCCCACCATAGTGCAGGGACTGTGCCGGTTTTTTTTGGTGCAGGGAAGCCCCTCCCCCCATACCCCCCACCCATGGAGAACTAACCAGGCATCCTCACATGAGCACCCATGGCCTTGAACTCCACTGCTGACCTCACCCAGCAGGAATCTGCCACTCCCTAGCCCATGGCAGTCAGTCCCAGGGCAGCAGACCCTGCTGGAGGAAGTCACACCGGTCTTATGGGTTTTCGGGGGCCATATCTGTCAGATCTGCCTCCCGCCCTCTGATTCACAGCATAATGAGAGCTTGTGGGGGGTGGGGGTGGGGGGGAGACGGTGTGTGGGAGCCTTTAGCCACTGGGCAAAGTTAGGGTGTGGGAAGGAGGGAGGACTGGAGAGCTGAGTGTGTGTGTGTGCAGGGCAGCCGTTGGAGGAGCCCCAGCATTTTAGGGGCCCAGAGGCCTTATGCTCTGTCCTCAGTTGCCCCATTTGGGGGCCAGACATGCATGTGTATGGGGGAGATTCATTGTCTGTGTGAGTGACCTCACAGGCCTGGGGTCCACAGGAGGGGTGTGGCTAACTGTCCAGCCCCCACCCAGAGTAATGAGGATGAGCTCACATTCCCGTGACACCTGCAGAGGCAGAAACCGCCTGGTTTCTCTCCTCTCTGAGAGGCACAACCTATTAGCTGTGGGGGGAGAAGGCACTGGTCACAGCATTTCACTGCCCCCTGGCATATTGGGGACAGCGCTTTGTAAGTTGGCAGTACAGGATGATGGCAGATCGTCCTGGGAAGGTGACTTGGACCAGGAGGTCTGTGTTCCTGTCTTGGGTCGCCATGCCTAGGCTGTTTCTGGGTGAGGCAGCGCCCCCCACTCTGTAGCTGCTAAGCTCCTGGCCCTCCCCGCACGCCTCCCCATCTGCCCAGGTCCAGGTCCCTTACATCATCTCTCGACCTGCAGCCTGCACCGGGTGCCTCCCCACACGCCTCGAGTCCCCGCTGTCCTCCTCTGTGGCCCCCTGCACCTGACCTTTGCCCCTCATTCTCCTTTTGTGCCCGTCTACTGTTCCGGAGGCAACAAGGCAGGGAAGGGACATGGGGCCACGAAAGGGCCCAGGGGCTGATTCTTTCTCTCTGGGCTTTGGTGCCCGTCTGCCTGCTGTGCCCCGTTTGCCCCTCTTCTGTCTCCCTCTGGCTGCCCTTCCTTGGCCTGTGGGAAGGCTGGTCCCACTCCGAGTCCCCAGCGCTGGTTCTCGCATTTGGATCTGGTCACTGTGGAAGGACAGTCCCATGGGTGGCTACTGGTGAAACGGAGATGTCCTGTGCCCTGCCGCTCAGCTGGCAGAATGCCCCTGCCTTGGGCTCACTGTTTGGGAAATCACAATCTTTGAAGTTGATTCTCTGCACCGGAAGGCAGCAGCGTGTCCAAGCTGGAGGGACCTTGGAGGACGCATGGCGAAGGCCGTGCCCAGTGCCCCGAGCACAGGAGCCTCGAACACAGCCTGGTGCCCAGTGCCAGTTCCCTCTTGTGACAGGTGGGCATTGAGGTCTGCAGAGAGGACGCGAGGAGCCCAAGGGCCAACGGTGGGTCTTCAGGTGAGCTGGGCTGGAACCCCTGTGTCCTGACCTCCGACCTGGGGGCTCTCTTCCCACCAGCCTGCCCTCGCAGGGGCTTGAGCATCTGACGGCTATGTGACAAGTGGCACGAGGTGACCTCAGACATCTTCCAGCTCTGAGCCAACCATTCACTGACTGACCCCTGTGCGGTCAGTTCTGGGTTTTGTGGAGGGAAGGCCAGTCAGTGTTCCCTGGCTCAGATTGAGCCAAAGTGCCTGAGGATGCCCCTTGGGAACAGAGAACTTGACGCCCCGGCTGGTGCTGGCGTTTCCGTTGATTTTAGCTGGATCCGACCTGGAGGGACTATCCCGGATGGGCACTGGCTTATGGGAGACAGAACCCAGTCTCCTGACTTCCCATGGACCCCTTCTGCCAGTCTATGGGCTGCGAGGCCTCAAGTCTCGCTGTAGCTCAGCCAAGAGACCGTGTCATGTGGCTCAGGAGGCCCCGTGGGCACTGATGGTTCCCGGTTCCCGAGGCGGGTTCACTGGGGAATTCCAATGGGTTTGCGTTCCTACAGCCTGAAGGTACATGCAGGGGCCTGGGCCTGTGTGGGCAGAAGAGCCACAGCCGTCTGGGTCCAACTCTGCTGTGGACAAAGGGATCGAGGTACTAGAGACAGGACAGCCCAGACTGCCATGCGGAGCCAGAGACGCAGGTCTGCGGATGTTCGGTGAGGAACACGTGGGTGAGATGCCGCAGGGAGGTGTGCAGGGAGAGGAAGGCACCCGCGCCAGGGGCCCGTTGGCAGGGGCAGACCGGAAGAGTGGCAGGGCCATGGGTGGAAGGCATGGGGTGGGGGGACATCGCAGAGAAGAGAGACAAGCAGGTGCAGAGCCGAAGGGTCTAGAGAGAGGGGCCAAGTCCAGCCCTGCAGCCTCCCTCAGGAGTGTTGGCCATGGTCAGACAAGTCAAAGGAGGCAAGGGTGCCCCTGGGATTCGGTCAGCCTCCTGGTGTGTCACTCCCCACCCTTCACTGTCCCCTGCTCATTAGGGATTGGTGGGAACACCCGAGCTTGCACCAACTGCCTCCTAGGAGGAGGAATTGCTTTTAAAATCAGTCCTGTGGTTGCAGAGGCCACTCAGATGCACATGGAGTCTGTGTGCACGCACGTGTGAGTGTGAGAGTGCATGTGTGTGTGTGTGTGTGTGCGCACGCGCGCGCGCGTGCAGTGGGGCATCTGGGCACATGTCTGGTCTTGGAGGAGACGCTTCTCCAAGAGAAGTTAGTTGCCTGCATCGCCCCGCCTCCCGTGGGTCCTGCCGCCCTCCCGGGAGTCCCCCAGCCTGGGCCCTTTCTAACTTCACCTGTTCTCTGCACAGTGGACTGTTTATCAGGAAGCAGTCCCACTGCTCCAGGCTCTGGATGGGTTGGTCTGGTCCGGAGTCTAAGGCAGGGCCCATTTCTTCCTCCCTGAGCCACGCCTCCCGCTTCCTACCGCCATCAAACGAGGCCACAACACAGACCCAGGGCAAGTGCTGGCTGCGGTGTCCCCCGTTGGACCAGTGTACTGGGGAGGACCTCGACCTGTCACCCCTCCCTCCCAGTCTTCAAGAGACACAACCCCTGCTTCTGCTCTCAGGAAGCGCCCGCCTGATAAAGAGACAGGTACAGAGCCTGAGAGCTGGGTGCAGTTCATGCCAGGCACTCAACCAACTGGCCTGCCATGGTTGCAGGTGTGAGCAGACCAGGGCTGCAAGAGTCTCCCTGGGGAGAGTGCAAAGGAAGCAAACCTTTAGAGCCTGCCGTTTACTAGACAAGGTGCTCAACAAGCCCCATCCT